TTTTCTTTATGTCTTTTTTTTCGCGTTTTTTTTTGTTTTTTGTATTTTTATCGATAAGTGCTAAACGTGTTGTAGTTGGTGTTGTTTTTTGGGTCAAGAGTTCGAAAAGAAAGTGTGATCGACGCGTTTATACCCTGAAATAATGTAAGTATATATTAAAATTAATTAATTAATAATTCTTACTAACAGATAATAATACATGTTGGGAAGTAAAAATTAAAATAAAAACAAATGTTTTATATATTTTTGTTCTTAGAACTTAAAGACAATTAATAAATTTAATCGGAAAGTATAAAAGTGATTCATTAAGTTTCTATTCAAGTTTCCCAGAAAACTTAGTAAGCAAAATATATACTAGAAAATTAGTTCATGATTCAGAGACTAAATTCTATTTAAAACCTTAAGTACAGTTAGCAAAGCATGCTTTTCAAAGAAAGAGTACAGCTGGCGAGAAGAAGCAGAGATATCCCAACCGATGATAATGATACGGCTACTAAATAATTATGATCAAGTTGAGGAATAATAATTAATTTTCCATCGACAGGTGCTACCCAGCACCCAGCAACTGCGGTGACTAGAGTGTTGCCAGACCAATGTCAGCTGGCGAAGGACAATGCACACAACAACAACTGTTAACTGTAAACTGAGTTCTGGCGTGTTCTTCTTCAATGCACTTTTTGTGTTGAATGACAAATGTGAATGGGGGGGGGGTAGGGGAACGGTTGGGGGACTTGCAACAAAAGAAGCAAACGTTAAGTGAAGCGGGAAGTGAAGAAGGAGCTGATAAAGGACATGCTATCCAAAGGGCTGAAAATGCCCAGCTGCTTGGTGGAGAGGCGTCCAAAAGAGAAAGGGGAGCGCGCCGTGCAAGAGCGAGAGAAAGCAACAGGATGAGAGGACAGTCGAGAAAGAGAAGCAGAAACTGCAGCAGCAGTAGCAGAGGCGAATGAAAGTGCATAAAGCAAGTCGGGTAAATTGTGCAACGGTGTTTGTGTGTATGTGTGTTTGCCAACTAAGTTTCTGCCTCCTCTTCTCTTCATCTCCCATTTTCTATTTCATATTTGCATAGAAACAACAAAAAACACCCGAAGCGGGAAAACTGTAAATGATAAGCAAAAGATGCGGATGCTGATAATCAAGCAAAAAGAGAAGAAAACTGAAAAACTAGCTGGTGAAAAGTTCACAAAAAACAAATGCCATTAACCCACTGAAGTCTACTGTTTGAAATTAAAAATATTATATTTTTTAAGAAATCGAATCTTAAGTCTAAAATGTAATTTGTAAACATTAATAAAACAACAAATAAAAACCAATTATTACAAAAAAAAGAATGTCTTTCAAGGGTTAAAATCAGCAAAGTAAGGGTGTTCAGCTCGCTCAGGTGCTACGAAGAAGAAGCAAAAAGTGCAGCGCGGTGGGCGGGTGAGTATTGTGGTTGCGGTGAGGTTAGGGTTAGACAGAGACGGAGGACGTAGAAGGGAAGAGCTAGAGAAGAGCTAGAACGGATGTCCGGCCCCCCATTGATTGGCCCAGGGATAGAACCCAAAAACAGAGAGAATAGAGACAAAGAAGTAATAACTTTTTGTAATTTTATTTTCCCATCTTTCTCAGTTTCTATAAGAAGGATCTACATATGAGATCTATTGTTAAAACTAGCTTATACCTTGTAAGATCCTTATTTTTATAAAGCTACCCCGCAATTACAGACCTCATAGTTAACCACCCTTATAATAAAGTGATCTGTTATGGTTATTTCCATTCTGGGATTATTTTAACCACCATGGCTCTCGCTTCATCTCTGTCTCTAGCTTAGAGTCTGTCTCGCTTTCATCTTTTGAGCCGCCTGTCAAAATCAAAGCAATCATTGGCAGGTCCCACCAAAATCGGCTGCCCTTCGGCTCGCCACCCCCTTCACCAAAACCATACCAACAACCACCCACCTAACCACCTACCCATACCCCCATTGATGGCCTCACGCACACACGAACACATAGACAGGCACATGCATGCAGGCAAATGCTTAGACATGTTTACATAGCAAAGCGCGCACGAAACGGGGCCTCTCTCGGCGCCCGCTTCTCTCTCTCCCTCCCGCATCGATGATGATGACGACGACGACGACGTCGCGGGTTTATCGGTGAATATGCGTGTACATGCATGCATATACCACCACAAATGCATGCCTCCAATGCACATAACTTCGTACTTTCATACATACATACATAAATATACATATATACCATAAGTTAGAGGGGCTTTACATAAACCACAGCAACAGTAGGTACAAAAAAAAGAAAAGATTTAAATAAAAACACTAAATTACGACTTTTATGGAATAGGGGAAAGGCCCACACACACAGCTGACTAATTAGCAAAGCAAAACACCAAAATCAAAATACCCCCATTCCATATACATACAAAGAGTGAGAGAGAGAGAGAGAGAGAGGGTAAAAAAGAGAAAGAGAGACACGCAATGGGAGTTCCAGGTCATTCAATGCCCAGGTGACACATGAAACCAAAGCTTCGAGCCCTGTAAACAGTATACCCTCGAATTTAATAGTAATACTTTGTAAGTATATGTTTAGTTTAAAGACTGTTGTATACTCTACAATGGGTTTAACATATAAGTATGACCATAGTCTAGGAGTTTAGAGGTTTTCCTAAAAAAGTATGACCTTGTTTAAGTATTGCAAGATACATATATTTATAAAAATATTAAGATTTTAATGCTTAAGTAATAATATTAGTTACATAACCTTTTAAATATTAATTCAATATGACCATAGTCTATGAATTTATAGGTTTTTCTTGATAAGTGTGACCTTATTTAGATAAAAGAGTCTCTTAATTGAAAGATATATTATTATATTCATAAAAATAATAAGAATTTGTTCATTAAATAGTATTATAAGTTTAATTTCCTTAAAATTTTCAAATCAGTGTGACCATAGTCTCTAATTATATACTTTTTAATAAATTGGTTAGAGTTTTGTAGTTTTTAGAGCCTTTCTTCGTGGTCTAAGAAACATATCCTTCATAAGAAGTTAAGAAAGAGTTCCATGTAGTTATGACTATTTTGCAAAACACCTGTTTTGTCGCAACTGTACTTTAATGTGCATTCTATGTGTCTTTGAAGCTGCAATTTTAAACCTTAACTCCTTTTCTCTTTTTTTTTTTTTTGTTGTTGTTTTTAGGACAATGGAATGCCAGTCTTGGACTCTTGGAACCGGCTAATTAAATTTTTGGGTAAATGTTTAGAGTTGAGAGTCGACCTTTCGGTGCTGCTGCGCGCAGCTGACACCCACACACGAATACAGTCTAGGAAACCCCAACCGTACCACTTAGTCCACCTTCCTATCCATTCCACCCACCCACCAACACCCGCACCCATACACCCACACACCCATCCACACACACACACACACACACACACACACACACAAACACACGGAATACATATAGACGGTGGTCGTCGGTGGACTTCGTGTGCGTTCGCCCGGCTTGTCGTTACTCGTTTCTCGGTTTCTCTGTCGCCTGGAACGGGGCCTGTCTTTTGAAGCCTCAGCCGCGCGAATAACACGAAACTTCTTGCATTCGCCGGAGCGAGCGACAGGGACGGGGCGACAGGAATGTGAGAGGTTAAGGAGGAAGAGTGAGAGGGCGACGACGAGGGCGACCGAATGCTAAGCAGGGGCCTTTGCTTTTGCTTGCCGCCTGCTGCCAAAAATAGAGACGCCCCCGCCACGCCTCCACCTACACCCTGCCCTATCCCCCCACCAGCCCCCCCACTCCCCACGCCTTCTCATAGCTCTCACACCTCCAAATACCAATACCATTACCCAATGCAGACCTGCTCTCTAGCTGTATGTGTGTGTGTGTGTGAGTGTTTCTGTGGCTGTGAGCACGGGTCTGGTACATAGCTTAAGCTTTCCTTGCACAGTGGGCCGCATACTAGGAGAACTTAAACATTTTAAAGGGAAAGTTTAAGAGTATTTTTCATTTTTAAACTTTAGATCCAGGTAGATCCTAGAAAAAAGATAGATTTTTAGTAAAAAAGGCTTAAAAATTAGTAAATCTTATGCTACAATTTAAAATTCATTTAAAAAGAACCTCTTTTTATTCAAATACTTAAACGAAATGTTATATCGATTAATGGATTTTTTAATAACCTAAAGGCCAGGTTATCAAAATCTATCTTCTATCAACATAAATTGAAATAAAAATTAAAGTAAAACCTTTGTATAAAGTAAGTAAATTTTAAAATACTTAGTTTCAAGTAAAAATTTTTAAAAATATTTCACCAATTTATGTTATCGATTATTTCGATTTCTTTTTTCAAATATTTAAACAACGCTTTCAATTACAAATTCTCCTAAAATTAATAAAGCAGGCTAATCAATACCCTTTTCATTAGTATACAGATATATTTTATAGAAGAAAGACACCTTGTGTCTAATATACACTAACATAAAAAAAACAAACAAAAAAAAACTACAAACAAGCTGCATTGCATAAGACTACGGACCACAGTAAGTTGTAAAATTCAGCCGACGCCAGCGTCGCAGTCACCGTCGCAGCTTAGACGGCGGTGGGGTGTGGGAAGAGGAGGAACAAGAAGAAATGCACGAGAGCCGAACAAAAGCAACTAAAGGCAATAGCAATAGCAACAACAACAACAACAACAAAAGCAATTCGGCAAAATGTTCGTGGCAGCGTTGCAGCGACGCCGGCAGAGACGTCTATGTGGCATTGCTGTATTTGTTGTTGTTCTTGTTGCTGCTGCTACTGACTGTTTTTCCATTTTTGTTGTTTTTTTTTTTTCTTAATTTTCGTGTTTTCTTTTGGGCTCTGCATCCGCAGCGCTAGGGAAGCTGCTGCGCTGTCGACGTCGCGGCTGGCGTCGCTGCCGTTGTTTTGTACGCTAGTGTGAGTGGCAGTGGCAGGGTGTGTGTGTGTGTGTGTGCCGCACACATTTTTCAGTTGACTTCGTTGAAATAATTTTCGTAACAACGATCACACTCGTTTGTGTATTGCGAAGACGGGAGGACGTACGTCGGCGTCGTCGGTCCACGGTAAAAGCGAATTAAACGAAAAGCGTAAAGCGAAAGAGCGCTAAAACAAGCGAGCGAGCGAAAACAGAACCAATTCCCAACCAAAGTGGCGTTATTTTCGTTTCATTTTTTTTTTTCTGTTTCAAACAACAAATAAATAACGCGCCGATTAAATAGTGAAGAGTGCTAGACATACTACTAAAAATACATAAAAATAATAATAATAACACATAAATGTCTGCTCGAATCGTGAATAAAATAGTTTTATTTTTTTTGCAAACACCACGCTGCAGCCATGCAGTCACCATTTCTTTGTGTAAGTGTGTTTGACAAAAACAACAACAACAACAACAAAAATCGGATATCACCCGATAATACATAGATATATATATTCTATACATATATTAAAAGTATACTTGAATGACAAAATACAACAAAAAAGCAACAATACAATACTGTGTGAAATAAATACGAAAATGGAATAAGCACCGCTAGAGGGGAAGGAAGAGAGAAACAAAAACCAAACTGAGAGCACGTTTTGGATGTATCTGTGTGTGTGCGTGTGCGTCTGTGTGTAATGAGCCGGGATAGTGTTGCCATATCTGTGTCAGCATGAAGCATAAAGGCGCATGCCGGCTGCTTTAGTGTGCCTGTGTTGCCTGATGTTTATTTTTATTTTTTTATTATTATTTTGTTAAAAATTTAGTACAAATAAACTAAAAACTAATATGGTTATAAACTGAAAAATAAACAAAAGTGATTTCCAATTTAAAACCCATAATACATATACAAAAATAGTGAAATTAAAAAAATATCTATAATTAAATTGTTTATACTTTTTTTTTGTCCGTGCAGCAAACCAGCCTGAAATGAAATTGGCTAACCAAAACAAACTGTGAAAACCAAAAAGAAAGCAAAAGAGAGCAAGCGAGAGAGAGCCGTACACCCACAAGGATAAGCCACACAGAGAGAGATAGAGAGAGAGAGAGAGAGTGAGGCTATAGAAACCAAACAAGTGAAGAGCGACAGCAGCGAGAGAGAGCGAGCCTGAGAGAGCACAAAGCCTGAGAGAGAGAGCTGAGATGGCCAGCGAGGATGTGCAGATCACGAGCGTCATCGATGCCAATGGGCAGCAGCTACCGCTCCATGGTACCGGGCTGGGCGGCCCCCTGGCACCGCCCGTCAAACAGGAGCGTCCGGACGACGCCGAGATCCGCGAACTGGCCGCCAAAATGAAGGAGCAGCAGAAGCAACAGGCCGCCCAGCAGGCATCCCGCCTAGCGGCCGCATCCATGCAGCATTCGAACGCCGGCACGGCCAACGGCGGCCAGATGCAACCGCCGATCACGAACGGTAACGGCCAGACAAACATCATGTCCTATCTGTCGCGCCACCAGAAGCTGCCCAACGGCACCATGCAGGTGGTGCCGGCACTGTCCGCCAATTCAGCGTCGTCGAACGGCCGTTCCAATGGCGCCATCAGCGATGGCAGCGGCTCGGAGAAGAAGGGCTCCGGCCCCTGTGACGAGGAGTCCGTCAACGGACACTTTGGCTGGGCGTCGTTCGGGAAGGTGTCCATTCCGTACATCTACCGGCAGTCGGAGAAGTACTGCTCCGTCCGGATGATCGAACTGAAGCTGCTCGGCAAATACCTTAACTGCCTGCATCCGGACATCTACTCCAGCTGCACCTGCGTCCGCAGCTACTACATCACGGACGCCGAGGCCCGGCTCTTCATCGAGATCAACCACAAGCATTGCGACGGCGAATTCGGGCGGGACATCTTCACGCAGAAGGATCTGGTGGTGCGGCTCAGCGACGCCTCCAAGTTCTATCAGTTCCTGGACATTTGCTATCGCAAACTGGTCACCGGCAGCAAGACGCCGTCGGAGAAGTGCGGCTTCATCCGGATCAACAAGGAGTCGGTGGTGCCGTACACGGTACGCAACAATCAGCAGGTGGTGCCGCTCTTCTACTTCGAGGGCGAAACGGAGAACCTGAAGACCAAAGCGGAACTGCTCAACGGCTGGGATCTGGCGTATCTGAAGTTCTGCTGCAAGGTCCAGGGCATCCGGAACGAGCTCTTCTCCAGCGAAAACGTGGCCGTCATCTCGCTGACGGACATCAAAAGCTATTTCCCCAACGGCACCGAGTTCGAGGACTACTGGCCCAGCAAGGTGGTCGACTCCAATCTGCTGATCGGCAATCGGGCGAATGTCACCAACTCGGTCAACTGGACGCGCCAGCCCTCGGCCCCACCGCCCAAAGTCTCCTCCGGCTCCAGTTCGGTTTCCGGTTCGGGATCTGGCATGGGAAATTCCTCGTCCTCGGGCGGGGGCGGCGGCGGCGGCGGTTCTGGCAGCGGCCAGGTTCCATCCAAAGCTCAGCATGCCTCGGCCGTGTCGGCGGCAGCCGCCCAGCAGCAGCATCTCATGAAACAGCGGGCGGCGGCCGTGGCGGCGAATGCCAATGGAGTGGCGAACGCGAATAGTTTCGGCGCCTCCCAGGCGGCGGCGGCAGCGGCGGCGGCCTTCAACTCCCAGGCAGCAGCGGCGGCGGCGGTGGCCTCAGCGGCGATGCTGCAACAGACCCAGGGCACCAATCGGATGCTCTCCCAGGCCACGGTCCAGGCCTTGGCCAACAGTGGCTGGATGTCCGGCCAGAACAACCTGCAGCTTCATGCCCAAATGATGGTGAGTTCAAGAGATCAAGATACAAATGGCGATGGTGAAGTTCAAGATATGGAGATGGCATATATCCAACCGATATATCCGATGCGTCTCACAAGAGCCAACTAACTAATAACTATCGATCGATCAAAACTTTGCAAGATTATCTCACGATTCGGATCTCTATTCATCTATAAGGTTGGGACTATATATACCTAATAAACAGAACTATTATATTTTTTATTTTCGAACCAAAAATAGTACGTTTGGCTTTAATTCAATATATTTTTTATTTAAAAATGAATTCTTTATAAAATACTAAACTTAGGTAACTATTGAAATCTAGCTTGCAACTAAAAAAGATTCAAGAGTTTCTACAAATTGGGTCAAAGCTTAGAATCTATTTAAAAAACATGTTTTTTCTCGATCTTCTCGAGCAAACAAACTTGAGCTGACTTTTACCTCAGGTGAGACTTGGGGGGGGGGAAGGTGATCGGTTAAATAGCAGTGGGGTGTGGGGGGGGCCTTTTTCTTTGCTTGTAATGACACAGAAACTTACATGCTGGGCTATATGTATACATTACATACAACTACATACATACATGTCTGTGCATGTATGTACATGTTTGTTCCAGCAGATTTTTTTTTTTTTTGCTGTAACAGTTTGGCAACCACAGCAGCAACAGCAGCAGCAGCAGAGGCGGCAACGTTAGCTTCAGTTTGAGAAACTAGGTCAACCAGCGTGTGCATAGGAGAGTGGCTCCACCATCTCCATCTCCCTCTACAGCGGCCCCTCTTCGGCCATCTCTTTCGCACAGTAACTCCCTCTCGTTTTGGCCAGTACATAACATATGTATATGCCATATGTATGTTGGCAACAACCTGTTGGTGGTTGAGATATTGAGATGCTGTTGTTGTTGTTGTTGTTGTCCACAGTCGTACTTCTTGAACATCAATTGTTTCTATTATTTGTTTATGTAGTCTCTTAATAAATCCCTTAATAAATTGCTGTTATGGTGATACGATTTATTATTGCAATCTTATCGGAATCCGTCTGGCAATACGACGACTATGTTTGAAATCGTTCCACAAATAGCTTGGCTCTTGGTTATTACAGTTATTTTTATCTCAAGTTGATTATGAAAACAAGTGGTAGCTCTTCACAATAAACGCATAACAATAAAGAAATGTTACAAACTATGAGCCATAATTTAATCCTATATCATAGTCGATAGTTTTTTGTTTTAACTCATCTCTAAGATAACTAGATAACTCATCTCTATAAAAGATCTTAATCTTTTGCGCATCTCTAAGATACCTTGATAACTCATCTCTATAATAGTTTTATATCGACAACCAATGATAAATTACCCATCACTAATTATTTGGGATAACTAATTATCACATCTCTATCAAAGTCAATTATCGATTGTTAATAGGTGCCATAATCGATCTATCGATAGAATAGAATAGTTTTTTCTTTCAAAAAGACCTCTTTTTAATCGATTTTTTTTCGATATTCTGTGTTACTTTTTCAGGCCCAACAGACCCACGCAAATGCCAACCGTGTGGGCAGCTATCGGGAGCACATGAACAACCTGATGATGAGCGGCAGCAGCCGGCAGCCGTACTCCTACAACAATCCCGCGATCTCCATGTCCTCGGTGAACAGTCACAGTGGTGGCGGCGGCAATGCCCCACCGCCCCTCGTTCGTTCGGCGGCGGGCCAGAATGCCAATCATATGTAAGTTCCACACCACACTACTCTATCGCTTAACGAATTTTTGAAACTCTCCTCCCACGACTGCGTCCTCAAAAAAAAAAAAAAAAAGAAAATCAATATAAAAAATTCCAAAGTTCTTATTAATTTCACGTACTTTACAAAAAAAAGAATTCATTGATTTTGATTGAGTTTTTTTGTTAAAAACTGTATACATTATTAACCTTAATTAAATATATATTTAGTACGTTGATTTTATTTGAATCTCGGATGAATGAAAAAAAAATGCGCAGAAATTGTGTTTTTCAAATTTTGTTGTAATTCGTTTTTGCCCAAAACAAAAAAAAAAGTTCTTTTTTTTTATACTTAAAAATATTCTTACTATATTTTTCGCTGTTTATTATATGTATCCTGTACACATTTTTTGATTATCAAGTCGCTCTAAGGGTTGAGTTCTCAATGTCTAGGCATTTAATGCATTTTCGTTGTAAGTATGTATTTTCGATCGATAAGTTCGATAAATAGTAATAATGCTTAGTAGCAGTAATCGAGAGTAATCGATAGTAATGCTGGGTGTAGTTTGTGGGAGATGATATCTATCCGATAAAGCTCTAGAGTCCTAGACATTGAGAAATCTCTGCTTTGAAATTCCATTAGGGTGTCCAAAACACACATGATTTTCAGGACAGCCAAATATTTAATTTTGTTGTTCTTTCTATTTTTTTTTTTTAATTATATTCTCTTCTCCAAAACTTGCACCGTATGTTTTTTTTTACAAACACTTTTCAATGTTCGAAATAAACGGTTAAAAATGAAAAATAAAACAAACAGAAAAAAGTATCGGCGTTTGTGCACGCATTTATTAAATTATATTTTATTTCAAGTTCTTGATGTGTTTTTTTTTTAATATTCGAAGAAATAATACTCTTTTCTTGCATAACATTTCTCTTTCTGCTATTTTTGTTTTTGTCATGCTACCGTTTAAATAAATTTTTAAAAAAACCAACAAATTTTTCAAAATTTTCCAATTTTTATTCCACATTTCTTCTATTGCTGTTGTTCTTGCTGTTGTTGTTGTTGTAGTTGTTTCAAAATCCAAGCCAATCAAAACCGCACAAAATTTTAACCAACAAAACTCACTGAAAACCGAGAAAAAAGCTGAAACTGAAATACCAAATATAGTAGAAAGAATGTCGGCATTCACAGAATTTGATTTTATGTTTTTCAAAATAGAAATTCAAAAGCCTCCGGAAAGAAGACACAAAAGAAAAGATATCCCATCCTCCCGTCCCATCCCCAACCTTCTCCTCCTTCTCTCATCCACCAATTTTTAACAATTTTTTACCAAAAAAAAAAAAGACCTTAAAATTAATTGTTTACACTGTACTAAACGAATCGAACGAAAACCTTTTTTGCAAAAAATACTTTACGAGCTTTTGTTCTCTCTTCTTTTCATTTTTTCGGGCCTCCAGATTCCTAACCTCTTACGGCATGCATTAGGGTGGCTCGATAACTTATAACTCGATAACTATCGGTAACGGTAACGGACTAAGGCGCGCGACTACGTGGAATATCCATCCCCGCATAAAACCCGATTAACACACCACACCACACACACACGCCACATCATATACTCTATCTAAAAAGTAAAAGATACCAAAATATATATAAAATATATATAGAAGCCTAGTAGAACTAAACACACAACCGCCACAAACACACACACACACACACACTTATGCCAAGTGCCCACGCATCCTGTACATACAATACACGTCATGTTGTAGAGTTCTCCTTTAGAGCACATACATATATTAAAAATATATATATTTTTAAAATTAATTGCCTAATTTGTAATACCAATGGTATAATATATATATATATATATCTAGAAATTGCATGAATAACATTAAGTGGGATGACCGTGAAACTGATTTTCGATTGAATTTCGAGTAGCCAGTGTGACCAAAAAACACGATGCATTAACGATGGCCAGTGTGACCAAATCAATGGAAAAATCAGTTTCTGGAATCCATTTAATCATAGACTTGAATTATGAATAAAGTTAATAAGCAAAAAACAAAACGTAGAATAAAAAAAAGTTTTAAAACAAAATATATATGTATTTGTTTCCTTTCTTGTCTGAAAATGGATGATAATTTTTACGTAACCAACAGTCTAATCCTTTTTTTTGTGGTTTTTATTCTCTTATATTACTACCACTTACTTTTCTCTTAGTTGCTCTATTTTTCAAGTTTTTTTTTCGACTTTTCTTCTTTCACATAATAATCATTAATCATTAATAATGTTTATTAATTGTTTTTTTTTTTTTTTTTTTTTTTGGAGAGACGTAATGTTTAAAGAGGAACTACAACATATTTTGAAAAACATAAATTCGCATATATGCTAGAAAATATAATATATATATATAGATATATATTAAAAAAACAAAAAAAAAAATAAAGAAAACAATCCCCAACAGATTTCAATCATTTACTGTTTTTTAATATAATATTTAATAATATTGAAAGTGACACAACAATATATCTACAAACATTTATTTTTTATGGCTGTGTGTACTGACTACCCCCTAATGTTATCTTGTTGCGCGCACACACACACAAACAAACACACACATTCACACACACACACAACCACATAAAGAAACACATATAAGCGTGGTATGACTCACGTTTAAACGAAATATTAAAAAAAAAAAAAATAAAAAAAATACATGAAAAAAAAGGAAAAAAATGCGGCAACAACTACAACAAAACAACAACAAGTAACAACAAGCGAGAACAAGCTTTTAAATTGGTGGTGGCAGGTTTTTAAAAATTTTTTTTTGTAATTTTTTTCTTTTTTTTTGTTAACCCCGTTTGGCCCCACCTTTACCCACCCGCCCCTTTTGGTAGCCCCTCACCTCTCTCATACAAACAAACACACACACAGACACACATCTCTATATATAACGAAAGATACAGTGCAAAAATCCTAGATACATTATATATAATGCGTGTTATAGGTGGAAAATAAAAATAATTGTAATTACAAGTCGGAAAAAAAATCGATTCAGAAAATATACTAAAAAAAAATGTATAATAAAGTTTAAGGAGAAGAGAAGTAGAAAAAGAAAAATTTTGTAAAGATGTTAAGCTTTTTAGTATTTTTTTTTGGTATTTCTTTTTGTTTTTGTTTTTTTTTTTTTTTTGCAAAAGCTGCTTATTTAACAAAATTGTTTATGCCATTCGATCTCACAGACCCACACACACAAGCATATACATTCATAAATTTGAAAAAAAGAGAACAAGAGAGAGAGAGAGAGAAATGATTAAAAAAAAAAAATAGAAAGAACAACAGAGGGGAGAGAGAACAATATTTAATTAAAAACAAAATATTTAAAAAAAAAATGAGGGGCTTGAAATCAATACCGATTATTACATATATCGCCATCATTTGTTCTCATCGGCAGAAGTCGAGCGGACTCGAAATCGAGATATCGATGTCTCCGATATGTTTAAAAATATCGACAAAGCAGTGCGGCAAATGAAGAAGAAGAAGATGAAGAAGAAGAGGCAGCAAGCAGGAGGAGCTATAAAAGGCGCGCTAAAAAGGCCCTGGCTAAGAAATTCAAATTTTTGAAATTTAAAATAAATTTAAATCAAAAAAAAAAAAAAAAAAAAGACAATATTTAAGTTTATAGTTTAGTTTGAAGAGCGAGCAATTACAACAAAATCGATTTGAAAAATGCATTATTAACAAAAAACAAAAGCAAAAATAAAAAAATGTAAATAAAAACAAAAAAAAAAAAGATTAAAAAGCAAAACAAAAAAAAAACCAAAGAAAATCGTCATGTATTGTATATAATGTTTCTAGGTCGAATGTCGAGCAGACACTGGTGCAACAGCAACAGCAACAACAACAACAACAGACACAACAACAACAACAACAACGCACATTTAACAGCCATGCCACACAACAACAACAACAGCAACAACAACACCATCACCACCAAAACCAAAGCAAAAACACCAACAACAACAATACCAGCAACAACAACAACAACAACAATAGCAGCAGCAACAACAACAACAATGCCTCAGCTGCCGAAGTGGCAGCTGCTGCTGCCGTTGCCTATGTCCAGTCCCTCCATCGATCCTCAAGCGCCGGCTACAACCTGCCCTCCACCCAGGACGATTACACCAATCTGGTATTGTGGAACCAACTGACCCCCAAACAGAGGCTACTCTTCATGCAGCAGGTCAAGGGCGTGGCTGGCGGAGTAGCCAGCGGAGGAGGAGGAGGAGCCTCTGGAGGAGGCTCTACTGGAGTAGGAGGCGGCCGAGGCGCAGGCGGAGGAGGCAGCAACTCCAGCTCTCATTCAAGCGGAGGAGCCAAGAACTTTCCAACCCTGCCTTCCCTGCCACTGGACACGGATCTGATAACCATGCTGGATTACAACAATCCCAACAAGAAAAAAACCGGAGTAGCATCATCCGGAGGTGGAGGAGGAGCAGTAGCATCCGGAGGAGGAGGAGGTACCTTTACCAAGCCCAATGTTCCACCCCTTATCTCCGATGGCGGAGCTGAAATAAGTCTGACGAAAATCAGTCGCAGATCCGGAGCCAGCGAGGCAGCACCCCCCACTGGAAATGGAAGTGGCATCACCATACCCCTGAACTCCACCCAGGCGCTGGAGGATTTTGAAAAGAAGTTCACGGTGATGACGGACGAAATGAGAGCGGTGATCCAGAAGGTGCTGGCCAACCCGGATCTCTCCACATCCATCCAAACGAACTCCGGCAACCAGATCCATCACCAGAATGCCAATCATCTGGTCTCGTCGTACATCTCGCCGCCCATGTCGCCCGCGGTGGGCGTCATTGGTGGCCCCGGGGGGGGCTTGGTCAACAACAATGTGGCCACGCTGACCCTCGCCTCCAATCCGAATGTGACGATAACGCCGCAGCTGCCAGGACACTTCCTCCACTCGCCATCCAGCTCGTGTTCCAGTTCCAGTGCCTCCAATACGGCAGCATCGCCCTTGGGCAACGGCAATGCCAGTGGTGGAAGTGGTGGTGGTGGGGTGGTGTCCTCCAACGGGCAATTGGGTGGCTCGGGAGCGGGGGGTGGCTCCGGGTCGGGAGCTGGTTCGGTGTCAAGTGGTCGCCAAAAGAGCGTCATCTGCTCCACAAAGAGTAACAACCTGCCGATGGCCATTCTCACCTTGGCCAACAGTTCTGGTCGGGATCAGCAGGGGGGGGCCAGGGGTAGGGGCTATCAGCAGCAACACCACCAACACAACCAGCAACACCATGTGGGGGGCCAACGTCAGTCACACAGCCATCATCATCATAATAGCAATATTAGCAGTAATATTAATAATAATAGCCTTAATAGTAGTAGTAATAGTAGCACTAGCAGCCCACATCCGGCAGCCACTGACGTTATCGATTTGTCCTCCTCCCGAAGGTCCTTGGCCGCATCGGCCGCCTATTTGCAGCAGCATTCCTCGGCGGTGGCGCAACAGCAGCAGGCGGCTGCCGCGGTGGCGCAGCACCAGCGCCTGGCCGCTGCGGCGGCGCATCACGCCCAGCAGAACGGACGCAGTGGCGGCTCCAGTTCCGGCAACTCATCGTCCGGCAACTCCGGTTCCGCCGGCAGTGGCGGTGGCGGTGGTGGCGGCGGCGGCGGCAACTCATCCGGCAACAGTTCCAGCAATTCCGGCGGCAGTTCGGGCGGCAGCTCATCGGTGGCATCGGCAGCAGCTGCCGCCGCAGCGGCGGCGAATAGTGCGTCGATGAACCTACAACGGCATGCCGCCATGGTGCACGCCCAGGCGGCGGCGGCCAGTGCCTCGGACAGTGCCCAGCGGCTGTGCGTTATACCGGAGATACCCACCAACAACATGAACCTGACGCCGTACAAGGTGCAGAGGGTGTGCGTCGACAAGCACCTGGTGCCGTGCATCAACATGAAGGCGTACAACGATTCCGAGCAGCTGATGACCCTCATGGAGTTCCAGAAGAAGTTCTTCCCCTCGGTGCCCCTGGATCACTGTAAGCGTCTGATCGAGGCGCTCGGCGTGGAGCTCTACAAGGCGAATCGGTGAGTTTGGTTGCCTCGATACCTTTGTGTCCTTTACTGATGTTTGGTTATAATCCTTATAGGCGGCAGGTGCAGATCCTGATGGAGTACGACCGCAGCTACAACGAGAACATGCCGCTGGTGCAGGTGCGCGACATCATCAAGTACATGACCCAGCTGACGTTCATGACGCGCGAACAGCCGCCGGCTAAGCGGACGCGAACGAGCTAGGAATTAAGCTGGGGAGCACAACATTTGCCACCGACAACCACAACAACAGCAACAACAACAACAGTCACACCGATAACAACAACAACAAGAGCAATAAAAGGATTAGCAGCAGAAGGAGGAGCAACATCGTCATCGTCGAGCAAAGGAGGAGCCAGAACCAGACGTGCCCTGACACCGCCTCCAAGTCTAAGCGGAGAACTGAGCCGACGCAGGGCATTAGCATTAGCTCCACCGCCAGCACCAGTACCAGTACCAGTACCAGCACCAGCCCATCACCATCACCAACAACAGCTAGAGAAGCAACAACAACACAACAACACATACGAAATGTTGTACTCCCACAACCAAGCACATCCGCAGCACCACCACCACCACCACCAGCAGCAACAGCAACAACAACAACATCATGAGCAGCAGCGCCTTCAGAAGAAACGACAACATGCCGAGAACAAGAGCTCCACATCCTGCTCCTCCTCTTCCTCCTCCACCATCACCACCACCAGCAGCAGCAGCAGCAGCACCTCGAAAACGGCTGCCCAGAAGATGGCCGAGGCGGAGCACGCCTACTTGTCCAATTTGTACGGCAAGGCGGCGGCCAGTATGCTCAGTCCACCACTAGGGGACTGGAGTCACGACCAGCAGCAGCAGCAGCAGCAGCGGCAGACACGGCGGGCAGCAGCCGCTTTGGGTCAACAGATGCCATCACAGAGGCACATCATGCATCGCCGGCATAGCGTGTGTGCGGCAGGGCTGGCCAGCTTGTCGCCAGCCGGGTCCAGTAGCTCCACGTCCACGGCGGGAGCAGCCGCCACATCGCCCACATCGGCGGCAGCAGCGGCGCTGGCAGCAGCCTCCTATTACGGCAGTGCGGCAGCAGCTGCGGCGGCGGCATTCACGGCTCCCTACCACCATCCTCATCATCCGCATGCTGCCCACCATCACCAGCAGCAGCAACAACAACAGCAGCAGCAACAACAAGCGGCACAGCAGCACCATCCTTTGGCTCCGGGCGGGCATCATCATGCCGCTGCAGCAGCGGCAGCAGCAGCTGCCCACCATCATGCCGCAGCGGCGGCAGCAGCAGCGGCCGCAGCAGCCGCCCATCATCATACGCACGGCGGGCAGCCATCGCCGACCATTTATCCGCCAACGCCGCCGCCATCGGCGCCGTGGGTGCATCCCTGGTACGCGGGGGATGCTGCCTTCTGAAGGCCATCTGACGCGGAGGGCGGCAGGGTCACCGGCACGGTCAAGGCCGGCCACAAAACCACTGTAAAGTAGAACCGTTTTTTTTTCTAGACTCGTAAGACTATTTATTAACAAAAGGTCGTGTTAAATATATATATATTTTTTTTTGGCAGTGCCGCCGTCACGAGAGCTGGCACTACCAGGGCGGGGGGTTAGCAGAGGGTCGGGGAATGGGGAACTGGGCGGGGGGGTATGTAGTTATCTAAGTAGGTTAACTAAAACAATTTCTGGGCATTATATGCCGTCTAAACAATAATCAATAATATGACTAAAAAAAAAAAAAGCTGCTTGGATTTCGTTTTCGACAAAAAAAAACTTAAAAAAAAATTAAGAAGAAAAAACTACAAACAAAAACAACAACAGCAACTCAAAGAACTGATTAAGATTTATTATCAAAAAAAAAAACAAAACCTTAAAAACTAGAAACAAAATTAATGAAAAAAAGAAAGAACTCTGTTTTGAAAATTCCTTAAATTTCGGTTTTCAAAAATAATTTCGCATTAATTAATTACAACAAAAAATAAAAGTCTTTTTCTAGCAATATTTACATACACTAACAGATATACATATATACATGTTATATGCTATATGCTATACATATGTAATATATACTACATAAGAGATCAGCCAATATATATATGTATATATATATTGCAAGCAAGAAATTTAATTTCTTGCAACTAAAAAAAAAAAAGAAATCAAGAAAAGAAAATCTTTAATTAAAATTCCACAAACTATTTCAAAAGTGAGTAAAAAAATAAAAACAATTTTTTGTAAGCTAAATAAAAAATACTATCATTCGAGCAGCAAAAAAATGCATAAAAAATCCTAAGAAACTTCTTTCCAAATCTTTAAAAATAAAAAAAACAAACATAAATCTATAAATACTAAGCTAAAAATAAATATTAAAAACAAAAAGGAGTAAAAAAAAACCGAAAACTATGTTAAAAACATACAAAAAACTAAAGTTTAAAGTAAAACAAAAAAATGAAGGGAAAGAAATTATGTTATATACAATGTATGTATATCGGAATATATATATGTATGTATGTGTATGGAATACTTGAAGAATATCCGTTTTATGGATTTAATAACTTTTTTTTTTACATACCTTATAATCTTATGACAAAACCGAAAACAAAAATATTTATTTCTTTTTTTTTTTTTGTAATTTAATTTTCAACCAAAACCGATATTGTTGATTTTATTTTTTCATTATCCTTTCTCCAGCAGAAGCTCAATAAATCATTATAATACATTATTAACTAATAATATTTTAAAAAATTGTTATTCACAAAGTCCGGGCAAATGTTTAAAAAGGAGTTTTTAGTTCTAAGACCCGAAGAAGAAGATACAACAACAAAAAAAAAAACAAACAAATCAGACATTAAGCAAAAAAGTTTATAATTATCATTATTAATTAATTGTTAGTTAAAAGAGCCGTCAAAGTATTTATCAAAGTGTGTTTTCATTTTTGCCAGTGCAGCATCAAAACTAAAAACATAACAGAAAATAAAGAAATGAAGCAAACTAAAATGGAAATAATTCTTACTTTCTTTTTATTGCGGGAAATTGGGCGGGAAATTTGAAAATTTTCAGGTTGGTTCTTTGTTGGAAAATGTTATCTGTAGTTTGCAGAAAGCTTTTAAAAAGCTTTTCAAGGAAACATTTTTGAAAAGGTGAGTCCAAGTTCTCGATAACATAAGGGAAAAGGGACTAGCCATCACTGTGGACCTTTTAGAGGAAACCCCCCATGAAAATGGGGTCAGAAAAAAAGGACAAAAAATCTGAAAAATATTTTGTCTCAGGGTTTTGATGCAGAATGATGGAGAATCGATCTAGAAATCATTTAAGGTACTCCGATTGAGGATCGGATGAGAATTGAGGAAGATATAGCCATCGCCGTGGGCCCTATAGGGGAAAACCCCGTTTTCAGGGCATCCATCAGGAAAAATGGGAAAAAAATCTGAAAAATATTTTGTGTCAGGGTTTTGATGCAGAATGGTGGAGAATCGATCTACAAATCGTTTAAGATACTCCGCTTGAGGATCGGATGAGAATTGGGGAAGATATGGCTATCGCAGTGGGCCCTCTATGGGAAAACCCCATTTTCAGGGCATTAATCAGGAAAAATGGGAAAAAAATCTGAAAAATATTTTGTCTCAAGATTTTGATGCAGAATGGTGGAGAATCGATCTAGAAATCGTTTAAGATACTCCGCTTGAGGATCGGATGAGAATTGGGGAAGATATGGCTATCGCAGTGGGCCCTCTATGGGAAAACCACGTTCTCAGGGGATCCATCAGGAAAAATGGGAAAAAAATCTGAAAAATATTTTGTGTCAGGATTTTGATGCAGAATGGTGGAGAATCGATCTACAAATCGTTTAAGATACTCCGCTTGAGGATCGGATGAGAATTGGGGAAGATATGGCTATCGCAGTGGGCCCTCTATGGGAAAACCCCATTTTCAGGGCATTAATCAGGAAAAATGGGAAAAAAATCTGAAAAATATTTTGTCTCAAGATTTTGATGCAGAATGGTGGAGAATCGATCTAGAAATCGTTTAAGATACTCCGATTGAGGATCGGATGAGAATTGGGGAAGATATGGCTATCGCAGTGGGCCCTCTATGGGAAAACCCCATTTTCAGGGCATCCATCAGGAAAAATGGGAAAAAAATCTGAAAAATATTTTGTGTCAGGGTTTTGATGCAGAATGGTGGAGAATCGATCTACAAATCGTTTAAGATACTCCGCTTGAGGATCGGATGAGAATTGGGGAAGATATGGCTATCGCAGTGGGCCCTCTATGGGAAAACCACGTTCTCAGGGGATCCATCAGGAAAAATGGGAAAAAAATCTGAAAAATATTTTGTGTCAGGGTTTTGATGCAGAATGGTGGAGAATCGACCCAGAAATCGTTTAAGATACTCCGCTTGAGGATCGGATGAGAATTGGGGAAGATATAGCCATCGCCGTGGGGCCTCTATGGGAAAACCCCATTTTCAGGGCATCCATCAGGAAAAATGGGAAAAAAATCTGAAAAATATTTTGTGTCAGGGTTTTGATGCAGAATGGTGGAGAATCGACCCAGAAATCGTTTAAGATACTCCGCTTGAGAATCGGATGAGAATTGGGGAAGATATAGCCATCGCCGTGGGGCCTCTATGGGAAAACCCCATTTTCAGGGCATCCATCAGGAAAAATGGACAAAAAATCTAAAAAATATTTTGTGTCAGGGTTTTGATGCAGAATGGTGGAGAATCGACCCAGAAATCGTTTAAGATACTCCGCTTGAGGATCGGATGGGAATTGATGAAGATATAGCCATCGCCGTGGGCCCTATAGGGGAAAACCCCATTTTCAGGGCATCCATCAGGAAAAATGGGAAAAAAATCTGAAAAATATTTTGTCTCAGGGTTTTTGATGCAGAATGATGGAGAATCGATCTAGAAATCGTTTAAGATACTCCGCTTGAGGATCGGATGAGAATTGGGGAAGATATAGCCATCGCCGTGGGGCCTCTATGGGAAAACCCCATTTTCAGGGCATCCATCAGGAAAAATGGGAAAAAAATCTGAAAAATATTTTGTGTTAGGGTTTTGATGCAGAATGGTGGAGAATCGATCTAGAAATCGTTTAAGATACTCCGCTTGAGGATCGAATGAGAATTGGGGAAGATATGGCTATCGCAGTGGGCCCTCTATGGGAAAACCCCATTTTCAGGGCATCCATCAAGAAAAATGGGAAAAAAATCTGAAAAATATTTTGTCTCAGGATTTTGATGCAGAATGGTGGAGAATGGACCCAGAAATCGTTTAAGATACTCCGCTTGAGGATTGGATGAGAATTGGGGAAGCTATAGCCATCAGTATGGACCCAGTATAGAGGACTATAAATAGAGGGGACTTCTATAGAATATTGCGAATAAAAGATGAATTTATTAACATTTATTAACATATCATGCCAAGGACAATAACATAAAGTCCTTGCGCTTTACAGCACAGAAACGAACTAAAGCTTAAAGCTCATTTGAAAATTTAAATCCAATTCCGTTGAAAAGCTTCTTCCATGTTTTTTTTTAAAGGAGAGTCCTTTGAGATACCAGCAGAGCAAAATGTTTCAATTTTCGTGGAAAAAAGGCAATACATTCCAGAACAGACATTAATATGAAAGGGCTATTGTCCCATCGGTGGGTTTTCCTTGTCAAATGAACCGAAACATATACATATATATTTTTTGTTTTTGTTTCCAAGGGGCCGTGCGGGTGATATTTTCGTCCTTTTTGGGGGAAAAAAAGGGGAAGGACCTGCAACTGCATGTGAAGGGGGTATGTACGCGTGCATGGGCAATAAAATACTTTGGGGAGCAAACTGTGCGGAAAAACTGCAACAGACCAAAACAATGCCAACAACAATGACAACAAGGACATAACAACAGCAACAACAACAACAACAAGGACATGAGTGAAGTTTAAGGGAATTTCCAATGTAAGCGCAAGATAAACATGACCCTTGGGAGGATCTGATGGTTTGGAGGGATTGTGTTTGGGGGTACAGTTCCCCATTCACCATTTGTTCCGCGAGTGTCCTGCGAGAAGACAGACCCCAGGACAGGCTATATCTCTCGGCCTTTTCGAAATAAATAGTCCGAATAAGGGATAACCTTTCTGAATAGTGTCTTTAATTGGCTTTTAATGGTTTTAAATGGCTTTTTATCGAAATTATCGAAAAGTATCGGATTTAATATGGTTTTAGGGTTTTATTAAAGAATATATCGAAATATCGATTCATATTTTTGACTATAATAGTATAGTTAATAACTAACTATTAACTATAACTATTAGTTATCTAAATAATCGTCTATGACTTTTTAAAATTATAAATATATCGATAAAAAAATTCTCTTTTGACTTTTCGATTCTCTCTTTGAAAAATTCTCTTTTAAAATATTTAACTTTATTTGATCTCCTTACATTCTTTCCAAAAATTAAAGACTTCCTTATTAAGAACTTAGATTAATTTTATATAATATTTATAATTTAAATTTTTTTTGTTTAAATCTTATTTTTAAACAATTAAAACAATAAAGGACAAAGGTTATGCAAAGTTGAAAGTGCGGGTGATGGAAAAATGTTGCATTCATTTCATTTACGCCCCGGACGACGTCATTCATTTATGCCCCTATCGTGGCGTTACCCCCACCCCCCTCTTTTACTCACACACACACTGACTCTCACACACACACATACATATCCTATATATGCAGTTGACTTTCCGCCATTTTCAGTGCAATACGAAATAAGAATGGGAATGGGCGGAAAAAAG